TATTCCAGGCTTCAGGGTCAGCAGTCTAATAAGTGGCTACCTAGGGAAAGTCTGAACTAATTGTTCAGCACCCAAGGGAAGCATGCTTTAACCAAACCACACCCACTCCTCATGCTCCTAAAATTTCTTCTCAAAGGATGTATCTGTTCCGCCTCCCTTTTTAGGATCAGAGAAGCGAAAATCAGAAGATATGAAAGGAATTTTTCCCCCTCGCCACATACTTCCAGGCTTAGCCTCCTTGCCAGGAAGACAAAGGGAAGTGTTGGCACAAGCTTTCTTGCTTTTAAGCAAAAGGATTAACAACTCTGCCAGGAGACAGAAACAGTGTTAATGTCCCACATCACATCCCCAGCTACTGCTTGTCGCCAAACTTCCATCAATTCTCTTGGACTGTGGAGAATTCACTCATTATTCCTTTCTCTCTTTTGCGCACTCTCCCTGCAGAGTGAGTGCCTCTGCTCAAAGGAAGTTGGCCTCAGATTACAATAAGTCTTTTAAATTAAGTCCCTTTTAATGTATTTAAATGTTTAAGCATTCTAATAGCCCACTAACTAGCACAGATATTGGATTTTAAAAGCAACAAGGAATCAATGCAACCAATGAACCCTTAGTCCAGTGAGTCACACAGGAACCCGTCTGTAATAGTTTGCAGCTAGTGGGATCACCAGGAGCTGAGCTCAGGTCAAGAGAATCTTGTCTTTATCTGTTAAGTCTCCTGAAACAATGTCTTCGGTTTTTTCCCCAACAATGTTCTTGTGACCCTAACAGTAACAGCTTCTTCATGCAGCCTACTTTTCTCAAGGTGCCTGTTCATCCCTATCAGTTCTGCATCTCTAGGGTAACCACTTAGGAAGGACAGGGTGGAATTTTGTTTGGAAGATCTGTCTATTAGAAGGAGAATATGAAGGTCCAGAGTTTCCTGGGTGGATCAGGTAACTGCTGAAAGGAATATTCTCCTCATCTAGCTCAGTCAGACAGCTGTTACAGAAAAACAGCTGCACTCTCAATGTCCCCCTTGAGTTTCACCCACATCACTACTTCAAGGTTGAAGCAAAAGATACTACCCACTCTACAAACTAAATTGTTGATTGTACCCTATGACTATCATTAAGTGTTGTATGTTATGATTCTTGATTCTTAACGAATGTACCTTTTCTTTATGTATACTGAGAGTATTTACACCAAGACAAATTCCTTGGGTATCCAATCACACTTGGCCAATAAAGTATTCTATTCTATTCTATTCTATTCTATTCTATTCTATTCTATTCTATTCTATTCTATTCTATTCTAATATAAATTCATATTCCAAAGGCCAATCCTGCTCAGATGTGATTATAAAAGCAATTCATTCCCTATTTGCCACACTATTAGCATACACGCCTGGGCTTTCTTTCCTGTATCTTTTTTTTAAGGATTTGTTTAGATTTTTTTTTTCAGTATTGCAAATGGTTTACAAAATCTTTAAACACACACATGCACACATTTCCCCTACCAGTCAACTAATCTGGGTGTTTCAGCAGAGGCTGCCATTGCCCTTTTGCTATACATTTGCTTTATCAGCCCTTCAAGGAAGTCAATCGAATTGGCAAGGATGAAAGAGAAAGAGAAAATGTAGGAACTATATAAGGGTACGTGGAAACTATTACACTCTGGGGAAATTTGTCAGACAAAAAACAATCATCAGCAATCACAAGGGATGCATAACTGAATGCACAGCACATTGTCTCAATAGTTTCATCAATCCTCCTCCCACACTTCCTTTACAGAGTTGAACATGTACAACCCTTGCAGACAACTATTTAAAATTTGCAATTTGAAACTCAAGTGGAAAAGCAAATGGTAGAAACAAGACACCTGCCTCTTCAGACCAAGCATTGATCAGAAAGAGATGATAATCTGCTACCGTTTCTCCCATCTTTGTGGCACCAGACAAAACTACTTGCAATGTAACATTTATTATATAGTCTACTTTGTTCGGAGGCTACCTGACATTATATACTTTTTTTGGATTGGAGAAGAGAGGAAAAATTAAGATTAGATGCGCAAAGCTTAGAAGGAAAAATAGTCTAATTTTGAAACTAAAGCATGACCTAACCATTTGAACAAAACAGTAAGAAATTCAGGTTAGTAACTGAAAAAAAAAATTGTAAAATTAGATCTTATTTTTTCCTCATCATTCAACATCCCTATGTTGAAAAACCAAAGCTATTAAGGTACGTAACTGAGAAGGCCTCATTTTCCTGAGCGACTGGGAGATTTGTTCTGCATAATACAATCTTTTCATTGTATAAATAATCCACATAGCATCACAATCCATGTATGTGCATTCATAGTCATATCTGAGCCATACCTCATAACTTCAGAAATGTGTCTGCTTTCCTAGCCAGCTGTAGAAAATTTAACTCATGAAGTAGCTGTGAGATCCTCTGAGTAAAATCATTCCAGGCAATAAATTCTGACAGAGCAGACCAAAATCACTGCAGGTAGCAAATGATAGGAGGCCTGGGAGAGCAGGTGTTTTGCACACACACACACACACACCACCCTCACCCCCATCCCTTACAGCTGATTTGAGTTAGGTCTTTTGTGTAAAATGACAAACTCTGGCTATTCCAAATAAAGATCTGGAGCCGTTTTTAAGGTATGGTTCCTAATTATGACATTGGTCTGAAAGCTACATCCTGATATGTGTTCCTCTCAAACTTGATATTTCCCCCACACCTGTCATTTGCCTGATAAAAGTGGAGGAGATTTCTGTCCCCATTTTAAATACAGAGTTGTGAACAAGACATATGGTTGCAGCAACTTTACTTGTAAAACACGACACCTAGGTTTCCACAATATTATAATACTACATCGTTGGGGTTTCACACCTTTTCTAGTGTTGTGCAGCTATGGCTTGAAGTGAAGAGCTTCAAGATCCACTCTTTTCAAATCCCACTCACAAACAAAACATTCATTCTCTACTTACAATAGATCTACAATGGGTTGAGCACATCTCCTAAAATAACCCTCAGCTTGGCCTTGGGCCAGCCCCTGCCTTCCACATCCACCAAATGGGAAATCAGCATCTTGCTTGCTCTCAATCTGCAGCAGTAAGAAATAGGTACCCATTTCCTGCCCTGAAAATCACAGCATACAGACTGATAACTCAAAGGAGTGAAAGAGACAGAGCAAATTCGGTGTACAGAATGTTCCATCGCTATGGGCACTGTCTCATAGAAAGGGAAGCTTTCTCTGCTGGCCGAGGAACAAAGTGGCATAAGATCCAGTTATTCCCTGGCTAATGTGTGACAGGAAGGTGACCTTGGGCAAATAAACGCCTCTGTTTTTTCTTTAATAACATGGGAATGTCCTAATGCTCCCTGGCATCATGGAATGGTGGAAAAAAGTCTCTTTACTGTATTTGTGATTGTCTGGATGTTAGTGATGATGGAAAATATACCTAAAAGGAGGGAGAATTCAAGAAACAATGAATAATGACTAATTCAGTGACAGCAGCCTAGGAAATGGCAAAGCCACATTCACATGCATTTTCACACAGCACTGTCTCAAACTTTTGACAACAGAGTGAGGCTCCTTCTTGTGTCCAAAGCTGCAGCTGCTGCACTTTTCCTTCTTAATTTTGTCCCCTACGTTACACTATGCATCTCATAAGTTCCTTTCTTTGGGCATAAAACTAAAAATAAATAAAAGTGTCAGTACATGTTTGCGAATGTATATCACACAGGAACACAAAATGAGGAAGTGAGGACTAGCTGTCAAATGTACACGTGGCAAAACCCAGGATCTTTTGCTCTTGCGATGAAAAACATTGTTTCCTGCAGAAATGTTGATTCCCAGAAATGGCCACATGCATTTATTATAAGCATAATTTTGTACAAGAATCCTGCTTTTCCCAATGACTAATTCAGCCTGTCTTCACACTCCAGGGCTGCTCTGTGCCTTTCCCTCTGCATTCATATTCACAAGGAATTACGATGACTTCCACACTAGCATATACTTGTAATCTTAGAAAATTAGAAGTTTAACTGAGGGAGGGAAGAAAAAAGATCAAAGGCAAGAACCAGCTCAAACTTCATCACATTCCTTAATTCAGGACTCATATTAGCATGTCTCCACCTTTTAAATGCCCCCTGCTAGGTTGGGTGCTTCATGCAGAGCCCTGCCAGAGCCCTAAATACAATTCTGCCTGGTTGCAGTTAATAATGGCTGTGTTTACACAGGGAATATCCAGCTGTAATTATAGGAATGATGTTATGATAACAGGAAATCCACGTTCTGTGGAGATATTGGGGAAACAGCATACAGTTGTTTGTTAATTATGAACAACAAGAAGCCTTTGTGTAGCTGTGGAAGGATGAGTTCCCTCTGTTTTGTGGACTTTGGCCCACAGATGGTTTAAATCATGTACATCAGGGTATTCTTAGACTGTTTGTGCACAGTTATCAAAGTTCCTGGGTTCCTGCTGACACAGCAGAGTCATTGTCCTCACGGAAATGTGTCTGCATGGTGTAACAGAGCCAAATGCATGCAACAACACTGCAGATTATGATTTTAAAAAATAAAGTAGCACAGCAACAATGGAAAAAGCCATCAGAGAAGAAATGATGTTTAGTGCAATTTCTATGGCAGCCCAAATCCCTAAATCTGAAGCAAGCTTGCTTTATGTACACCTTAATAACTGACCAACTGAATCTCTTCTTTGCTATTTATCTTCGGACGCTTACTGAATCAGTTTTATGAAATGAAAAGAACCTAGTTCACAAGAAACACAGACTGTACAAAAAAGGGATCCTACTATGTAGAATAAAATTGCACATTAAAATACAGCCTTCTTAAGAGAGTACCCACAAATAAAGGAAGTAAAGACACTCCAGATGAAGTTTGTCCTCAGAAAATCAGTTTTTAATAATTGAGACTGGGGATTTTCCCCCCCATTTTATGAGCCAGTAGGACTCTACTAAACAACATAACAAGACCTCCAAGGGTCTTACCTTTTTTATCCTGCCACTTCGTGTACCAGCAAAAACAACTGTGTGTCCATGGTAGTCATAAGCAGCCACTGATGTCATGCCATCTTCCTTGTCCACAAAGAGTGGCACACCTTCGATTGTGACAGTTCCACCCAACGGTTGATTAAAATCTTGTCCGCAGAAATTATCATCTATTTGCAAGGGCTGTAGAAAAATATAGGATTAGAAAAATAGAAAGAGATTAGTTGTCTGATAGTGTTTCAGCTTACCAGGTAGTAAAATTATTCCATGACTAAAAGATCTCAACTCTTCAGGATTATCACCAATAGGGAAATTGGTGGTAGTAATGACTCTTCAGCATTAAAGTAATTATTTATCAGTTGAAAAGCATATGCAACAAGTTCCCAATGGCTAGGAGAAAACATCTTCCCTCCTCATGGCTGCATGCAGTTAATTTTCACCATATACCAAGTTAGCAACACTTATTTGGTGTTAAAACGATTTGAAATTAATCAGAATAAAATTATGCACATTTAAAATAATGTTAGGTTCAGGGAAAAGAGAGAGGGATTGAGGGAGGGAGAGGGAGGGAGAGCGAGAGAGGGAGGGAGGGAGGGAAGGAGAGAGAGAGAGAGAGAGAGAGAGAGAGAGAGAGAGAGAGAGAGAGAGAGAGAGAGAGATTTCTACCAGTATAAAAAAGACATGCCTCCTGAACAAAAAAAGTCTTAAGTGTAGATTTTCAATGGCTGATATTAAGGACTGGGAAAGTTCATGCAAGTTTGTTTTGTAATTATATGATATCATCCACAATTTAAAATGGGCCTGGGAACACATGGAAACCTGTACAAAAGGTACAGGATTCATGTTATTTTCTCTAAAAAATTTTTTACCCTTGCAATAACTGAGCAGCTGAATTCCATACTAGCTGAAGTTTCCAGTGTCTCCTTAAAGACAGCTTCATTTGCAATATATTATGATACTCTGGTCTGTAATTGGTGTGATCAGCAAATTTCAAGGTTGCATTGAACCGAGTAGAAACCCCAAGCTGCACATATGATCCCTCAGTAAGAGTATAGTTTTCAACACTATATTATCTTCCCATCCTCATACTCTCCTTCTAGGAGAACTAGTTTGTACCCATCTGAATTAAACTTCAGTTTGATTGCCCTAATTCATCCTCAAATTTGGGATTTTTATAACTTCCTTGCAATTAGTTAGAGAAAACAAAAGCTGAAGCTGTTGTCCTATCACCTCTACAATGATAGTTAAAGCAGTCCTGGCTTCATTTACTGACAGATATTACTACTGTATAGGCATTAAAAAGTGTGGGATCAAAATATAACTCTGAGCTTCATCATGTGACAACAATCATGATCCAGGGCTTGAATAATGAAATGTATGGAGCCATAAAAAGGGAACTTGTTCATTATAATACCATGAATCCAAATCCTACCCCATCAGCATGATGTGAGAATTGATGGTATCAAAGACTAATGAGAGGTCAGAAAGAATAAATAGGTTGCATTTCCCAATGTATCCTATGGAATAAATCATTCACAAGGATGAAACCCATTTATTCTAATCCTACTTATCTGTTTTAAACATTTGTGTAGCTGCTCATCTTAAAACCAACCTCTGAGAGGCTTACAACCCACGAAAACAAGATGTGCAATCATAAAAGAAAAAATGAACAGTAAAAAAAAAAAAACAGAAAAACTTGGCACCACAATAAAAGTTCCCACAACTTCTTCATCAAACTCTGACCTTACCCTATTCTAATACTTGAGGAAAGAGCCAGATTTTAAGTGCTCTTTAAAAAGTTTAAAAGGTGGAAGTCAGGAATTGAAGGAGAAGGTGCTCCATAGGACAAGGGCTGCAACATTCAGTAATATAAAATAGTAATAAAATCAATGTAACATTTATATATTGGATTTTTATCCGCAGTTCCTTCAGGATCCTAAAGAGGCATATACAGCTCTCACTCTTCTCATTTCTCCCCACAACAATCCCGTAAAGTAAGACACAGCTTAAATTTACTGGGTTAAGAACATGCAGTGAAATTCTGTTGCCAAAGGTAGGCCTTAAACTTGGATGTCTCTAGTAGTAGTCCAATTCCACCACTATACCACATTGATTCTCCCATTTCTAGTTTTAAAAGTTCATTTCAGAAGGAGTTAGGAAAAATGAGTTTCAAAAGGGACGGAATGAATCCAAAATTCATAAGTCTCATGATCTTGAAACTTCCAGTAGATTTGATCTTTGAAAAGCTTAGAGCAAACTGCTGCAAAATAATGTAACAAGAGACATTATTGCCAATGCATGCTGTCTAGTAAAGCCAAAGAATAACAAGGACACGTTAGTACAATATGCTTCAATGATTATAGAAAAGCCTTTGAGTATGTCAACCATGAGCAGCTGAGCAACTGCTTAGGAAAATGGGACCCTCAGACTATCTCATTCTCCTCTGCAAAACCACCAGACAGGAAGCCACAGTCAGGACTGAACATGGTGAAACAGATTGGCTCCAGGCCAACAAAGGAGTGAGATATGGTTGTATACTTTCCTACTTGCACCAGATGTCATGATGGAAATTACACAATCAGGTTATTTATATGATTACAGCATAATTACAACATTACACACACACTGTCATTTTTATGTCATTCAAATTTGTAAGACACCTATATCTAGAGTCTTTATTCTTTGGACATACACATAATTTAGACCAGCGGTCACCAACCAGTGGGCCGTGAGAAAATTTTGGTGGGCCACAATCTCACCCCCAGAGCACCCCCCCCCAAAAGCAATTAATCCAGGCTGTGCAGAAACACAAGGCTGCGCCGCCCACATGGCCCACGGAAACCCTCCCCACCCACTCACTCCTTACCTCGCAAACTTGCCTGCTAAATTGCTATTTATCCTTTTTCTGACCATCAGCTGTTCTGCTGTGCGGGGAGAATTAGATTAGCTAGGAAGCAAGAAATGGTTGGATTTTTTGCTTTCTAGCTAGTCTTTAGATCTTCGGCTCTGCTTTTAAGCACAGCCGAACCTCCCTTAGTACTGAAGGTTCTATTATTCAGTGCAGACTCATGGCAAGCAAATTTTATGTGACAGACTGAGCTAGCCGATGGCAGACAGATAGATCACTGAATGATTCTGTGAGCAACTCAATCTGCCTGCCTGCTTTGCCTGATTTTGGGTAAAAGTTGCTCCTTTTTAAATAAAAAATTCAATATTTAAATACATGGTGTGTTGTGAGTTAATTTTGTGAGTTTGCTTGCAAGCAAATTTTATGTGACAGACTGAGCTAGCCGATGGCAGATAGATAGATCTCTGAATGAATCTGTGATTCATCTGTGAGCAACTCAATCTGCCTGCGTGCTTTGCCTGATTTTGGGTAAAAGTTGCTCTTTTTTATATATAAAAAAAATCAATATTTATATATTTACAATATTTACATACAAGCCATGCCCAGCCAGTCACGTGACCACTAAGCCACACCCACAAATTAGGCCATGCCCACAGAACTGGTTAATGGTCTCTGGGATTTAAAATTTGAGTTTGGTGGTCCTGAGGTCCAAAAGGTTGGCGACCCCTGATTTAGACCATTGTAGGACAGACAGAGATGAAACCGATGAAATATAATAAAACCAGTCAAATAAGTCATGATCCAATACACGCTCCCTCTTCACACACCTGACTTCATGGTAGATATTTCCTGGTTTCTAATCAACATGTAAAGCATAAGTACATGTTCTGCATTTTAAATTAATATCATCAATCAGGCTATACACACATTTATTTTATTCCTGATTTCATCATACAAAGATCAACCTTAAATTCTTGTCAATTTGTCATACCAAGCATACCAAACTAGACCAAGGGTCTTCAAACTTGGCAAGTTTAAGACTTGTGGACTTCAACTCCCAGAATTCCTGAGCTAACATGACTGAAAGAGGAATTCTGAGAGTTGACGTCCACAAGTCTTAAAGTTGTCAAGTTTGAAGACCCCTGTACTAGGCCTTTGGTCTCCATATCCCTTTTCACAGAGCAAAAAAGTAAAGTCTTCCTCAAGTAAAGTTCAACCCCTGATGATTTCACAGACATATCCATGAAGGGGATAATACTGCAATGGTTTGTTTGGTTTTGGTTTCTTCAGGATGTTTTTTTCAACTTCCCAATTTAGTACTCAGCCCTGGAATTTCCTGGTGATTTCCCATCCAACAACTAGCCAAGTCCAACTCTGTTTAGGTTTTCAAGGTCAGCCAATTGTTTGTCTTCTTCCTGGAGATTATGCAAATTCCTAAAAGCAGCAGCAAACACACAGGGCTGCTGTAGGTTTTTAAATGAGGACTACCCATGAATGGAGTGATTTCCTTGTTAAATGTTCTTTATATTTGTGCTCATTTAATGGTTTTTAAAGAACACTTACTGAGGCAGCTGCCAACTTTGCCACTGAACTGAAATACAGAAAAAGGAAGCAGAACTGATTCTAACTAGGAGGTATTCATAAATCACAATTCCACTGATTAAAAAAAAAAAAATCTGTGTTCAACAAACCAAAAATTCCAACACACATACATGAAGAGGAAAAAGGGTGGATAAGAAATGGGAATGTGAGCAGCCTTCCTGTTTCAAACATCTTCCATATAATTCATCTTGTTCAGGTGGCTTCAGAAATAGGTAGAATTGTTTGGACTAACATAGCACCATAAATGCAAGGCAGTGGCGGCTGCCAGTTTAAGCAGAAGAGCAATGTCTTCTACCACCTGTTATTACGCTACTGCATCACCCTCATCACTCCATTATCATCATCATGGATTTATAATTCACTATACTTTGTACCAAAGAAGAAAACGGATTCCTCCAAGAACAGTTCACTCTTAAGAAATTATTCCAGGAAGAAAGAAGAGTACAAGGAAGGGGAAATAAATAGATTCAAAATAAGCAGGTTCCAAAATAACTGGGTTGAAAGGCTGCAAAGGGCCATTAAAGGATCGTTCTAGTCAGCATGAGCAAGAAGGTGGCTGGTGTTTTTTTTTCCTGTCCCAACCTGGGGCCTAAGCTTGTTTTCATTTAAACTCCTATAGAGAAGAGGATAAGGTACTGAAAAGCAGGAAAGTATTTACCTTTCTGTTAAAAGAGCCAAATTCTTCCATTAAGCCTGTACGGTATGTACATGTTTTAACCAGCACCAATTGAGA